GATATCATATGATATTTGTCTTTATCTGACTTACTTCATGTAGTATGATCTCTAGGTCCATCTATGTTGCTGCAAATGGTATTCTTTTTTATGCCTGAGTAATATTCTGTTCTTAACACACACCTACATATATATCATATCTGCTTTATCCATTCATCTGTCAATGGACATTTAGATTGTTTCCATGTCTTGTCTATTGTAAATAGTGCTGCTATGAACATTGGGGTGTGTGTCATCTTTTCTAATTAGAGCTTTCATCTTTTCTGGATATATGCCCAGAAGTGGGATTGCTAGACCATATGGTAGTTCTATTTTTAGTTTTTTAAGGAACCTCTATACTGTTTTCCATAGTGACTGTACCAATTTACATTCCCATCAACAGTGTGTGAGGGTCCCCTTTCTCCCATACCCTCTCTAGCATTTGTCATTTGCAGACTTTTGGATGATGACCATTCTGATTGGTAGGAGGTGGTACCTCATTGTAGCTTTGGTTTGCATTTCTCAAATAATTAGCAATGCTAAACATCTTTTCATGTGTCTGTTGGCCATCTGTATGTCTTCTTGGAGAAATGTCTATTTAGGTCTTCTGCCCATTTTTTAATCAGGTTGGTTGGTTGTTTTTGAGTTGTTTGAGCGGTTTGTATATTTTGGAAATTAAGCCCTTGTTAGTCACATCATTTGCAAATATTTTCTATTCCTTAGGTTTCATTTTGTTTATAGTTTCTTTTGCTATGTAAAAGCTTATAAGTTTGATTATGTCCTATTTGTTTATTTTAGCTTTTTCTATTGCCTTGGGAGGCTTGCCTAAGAAAACATTGCTACAATTTATGTCAGAGAATGCTTTCCCTATGTCCTCTTCTAGGAATTTTATGGTGTCATATCTTATATTTAAGTCTTTAAGCCATTCTGAATTTGTTTTTGTGTATAGTATGAGGGAGTGTTCTAAGTTCACTGACTTATATTTGGATGCCCAGACTTTCCAATACAACTTGCTGAAGAGACTGTCTTTTCTCCATTCTGACATCTCTTTTATTACTGTTTTGAACTAGTTTTACATCTTTTATTGATTTTTATGTTATATTTTCAACTGCATATAATCTTAAAAGCCAAGGACTACTTTTTGGATTTCTTTATATTTCCTAGCAAAATTTTTTGCTTAGATACTCTACACATATTTAATTGCTTTGAAACATACCCTTCGGAAAATCTACATTTAGCCCAGATCATGTATTCTATATAAAGAAGTAAACTTTCAAAGTCCTTTGAAAGATTTCTATTGTGTTGAAGGACTGGGAAATGGGTAGATTTGAACATTTAGAGTTTTACTTGGAGATTCTTTTTTCCATAGATTGATGTAAGTCCAGTGCTCTCACCATGAGTCTTGTAATAATGTTACTGATGATAGAAAACAAATTGTTGCTAATAATGTAATGGCATGATTAGTAGTACCCAAATATAATGATTCAAAACATTTTTTTCCTTTATGAATTAGCTTCTGTTAATGTTTCCAGAAGAATAGAGGTTTGCCTCAGGCTTCTCATTCCAAATAAAATGACTATCTTAAAATAATATTAATAAATAAATTCACCTAAATATGGGCATGTCTGAAATAGAACCAACCTCCTAATACAGCAGCAACTGTGGCTATCAGCATGCTTCATGCAGCCTGGGGTAGTGGCAGCCGGCCAGCATATTATCCTCTGATCCATTGCTAGTCTACCTCCTAAATGTTATAAATATTCATGTATGCCATAGAAAGCTACAAAGGGCTTTATTCAAACATTTTTTTGAATACTCCTTTATGTTTCCCCCAAATGAAAGAATGTCTGTTTTTTTTTTTTTTTTTTTTGCATAGGATCAGAGTGTGAATTCTCTTTTGTTCATACTCATAAATCCTGAAAACCAATATGCAACAAATTCTCTAATCCTCATTTCATACCCCAAGGGTGAAGAGGTTCAAAATAAAAATACTTAGGATTGGCATGGCAGCTCACTGACTGTGCAATGCTGCCACCAAAAAAAGCATCTGTGTTCCCAACTACCCAGGTGACTTCTGCGCCTGGCAGGGACTCCCTCAAGGGAGACAGCCTACCAGCCCCATGAAGGCTGCCAGCTTTGCTCACCACTGTGGCTTTGCTGATGAATGAGGGGGAAGCTGCGTAGATATTAACCTGGAAAGGGAAACAGACACGTCCTTCCTGAGGAACACAGTTAGTAACAGCAATCACTAGTGAGTTGTTAAGTGGTAGTGGTGGTGGAATCGGAGCAGGATGCGCTAGTTTATGGGGAGAAAAGGTTAGAAAAGTTGGCACCAATGCCAGGCTGGTCAAAGCCAGGTTTCAAGAACATAAATCCTTTTTAAAAAATTCCAGTTCATTTTTCAGTAACACCTAACTCATGGAAGGGCAATTATAAAATTCAGCTTTCTCACAGTGTGATTTATCAAATGAAATAAAATTTATCACTGCTGGAGCAGAGAACTGTTATAATGGTACTCTTGCAGTATTCTTTCTCCCCTTTTCTTTCATAGTAATTACAACCCCTTAATTTTGAGTGGGGCATTGGATACCCAAAATAAGGGCGACACATTCTTTCTTTTCATGTGATTATGTTTCTTCTGTCTGATAAAAGGTGAGCCAAGTGGTAAGTGCAATTCTGGGTCACATCCCTACAGGGAAGAAGCAGGTCTTCACGTTTTTCCTTTCCCCTTTCCTCTAGCTGGCATGGGGGTGGTGGTGGTCCACCGTCTTGGACCACATGGATGGTGAAACGGTACAAGAGAAGAAGGCTGGAATTTTGACTGCTTCCTGGAGCAGAACTTCCAGACTTAGACATTTAAGTGAGAAAGGAATAGACTTATCTTGTGTAACCCATCATTAATTCAGGCTTCTATTATTGCAGCTGAACTGCTATCTTAGCTCTTCAGTTGCTTTCAAGCAAAAGTGGACTCTGTCAGAGCAGGCTGTGAAGGATCTCTCTCCTCACTGCCAGGCATGTAAGAACACACTGCTGTGGGCATGAAGCACAGAGATGGGGAAGGGGAACTCCCTTAATGTCCATTAAATAGGGTCTTGACTTTTCCTTCCCAGATGCGACACCAAGATCTAAAAATCCAGATGAAACAAATTTCATCTTCCTTGACAGGTATTTTTGCTTGTTTGTTCTGTTCAGTTAATGTTAATGATCAAAAGTTCTAAAGCTCAATCAACTCTTTAGGAGACTGACTTCTACGCCTCTGTGCACACGTATACTTTACAGTCAAATGGTTGGCTTAACCACCCTTTGGTCTGTATTTCTGCCTAAGTGATCTGGCAGGTTCTTTACCTATTTGCTATATCTTTCATTTCTGGAAAACAAGTTTTCTCTTGAGAAATTAGGGAACTATGTTTAATTCTCCATACTAATAAGTGAACAAATAATGTTTTTACTTTGATCATAAAATTACTAAACTGACACAGCAATAGAGATGTTCATACCCTACCCTTGGTATGGGTGGGGAGGGGGACTGCTAAGAAATATTTGCCCTCTAGCACAGAGTTTAAAGAATCTGCACCAGAGGGCAAATTCAGTTGGTAAGAATCTGTCTGCAATGCAGGAGACCTGAGTTCAATCCCTGGGTCAGAAAGATTCCCCTGGAGAAGGAAATGGCAACCCACTCCAGTATTCTTGCCTGGAGAATCCCATGAACAAAGGAGCTGGTGGGCTACAGTCCATGGGGTCACAAGACTCAGACATGACTTAGTGACTAAACCACCCCACAGGGTGTCTTTGAGGAGTGCAGACTCAGGTGCCATTTCCTAAGAAGCTTAAGACGCAGGACCTAGTGCCCAACACTTGCTGCTCTTCTCTACCAGGCTGAGCTTTGCAATAAGCTCATTCTCAAAGTTGAATAGTATGATCTTTACAGGATGACTGTGGGATGTTTTGAATTCTCCCAGAGTCACACATATTAGCTGGATTTCAGGAAGCAATTGCAACAGTTTTTCTGGTTAGAATGCTTATAATACTCTATGACTTACAGGAATAGTTAAATACCCTGGCCCCACCAATGATTCCCCAGGGATAGCTGGGGTGGGGTGGGGGGGGTCACCATCCCCATTTTCTGTTGGGAAAACTGACGCATGGAGAACTCAAGGGACAGCTACAAAGTGATGAAGCTGACCCCCATGTCTCCTGAACTCTCAGCCCTGAGCTTTTCCTGTGGTGCCACGTTCACACTGCAAAGCGTACCCCGGGCACATGCTCATCCACAGAGAGATAATATCGCTTGTCCCCATCCATGCGGGCTGCGGCCAAAGGATTTAGAAGACAATGGGGCATTCCATGAACATGCACTGTGTCGCTAAAGAAAGGCTTTGGCAAGACCCGCCTTATTGCTTCACAGAAGATGAGAAAATTAACTGCAAAGTAACGAATGGTTTTTTTTCGGGGGTGGGGTGGGGTGGGAGGGGCTGGCAAACTGAATATGCACCACTTCCGCGCAACTGTTCCTTCTAAACAAATTTTTGTTTTCAGGTAAGGAAGATTTTCAAGTTCCCACCCTGAACTTGGGTGAACTTCACTGGACTAAGCAACACACAGTCAGGTGACTGCTCTATAACAAAGATCTTCTGTGGAGTTGCCTTTTACCTACATGCACTAAAGTCAGCCTCAGCATATCAACATTTCAAAGGCATCCTGGGGCGGTTTAGCTCCACAAACAACATGGAAGTCACTCTGGAACATTCGTGCATTTTAGCAACAGGCAGCCAAGGATGAGGCACATAGTAAAAAAGCTAGCTGCCGCTGAGGCCGCAGCACAAACGCTATTCAGTTTCACAAAGGAGAACTGACAGATTAAACGGTGTAGCCAATTTGAACTGAGTGTTTCAAAACTCCTTTATGTGTAACTAGCTTTTCAAGGTGGCAGCATATATGGAAATTATTTCCTTTATTAGTAAAAATGCAAATTTTTATTTTAAAAAACAGCGTGGTTAAGGTTAACAATACTGTACACGTACCATTTTTTCAAAGTTTACTAGATTGTCAATGAACGTCTTGTTCCCCTCATGAGTAAATGTCATATCTGCAAAGAAATAAAAGTCACATTCTAATCACTAACAGAAATATGTCATACAAAGAAACCACAATAGCACCATTAGATTATGCTGAAGGATTTGCATAACACTACAGCTGAAAAAAGCCGATAATAGTTCCTTTTATGTTAGGTGTTTAACTTTCTAAAAGCATTTTACCTGAGCTTAGTTAAAATTTCCAAACTAACCCTCTGTTTCACTCTCAAGGCTTCCAAACCACACACAGATTCTCTGCTCCTGCAATAATCTTGCCAGCCCTTTCAGAAAAGTCAGGGCAGAGGGGGGATGCTGAGGAAGGTGGGAAGCTCGGATCATTCCTCCCAAGGAGGTCAATCTGATTAGGCACCTGCTCCTTTCTTCCCCATACACTCATCACTGGCTCGTCCTGTGCATTTCCTTGGAATTACCTTTAATGAGCAAAGGCATGAAGGGGATGAGAGGAGGGTCCAATTTGGCTACTGTCAGCCTGTAAGCCCTGTGGTTTCTTGAAGGATCCTTTAGAGAAACAGAGATGCTGGTTAAGGACTAGTGAAATGTACACCACCCTCTTCTACCTCCTAACCCAACCCAGCCCTGTCATCTCCCAATCAGGTAGTTCTGAATCAAGTGTAGCTACAAAAGAAAGGTAAATTTAGTTAAACAGATGGATTTTTGTTTTAAAACAACTTCCCAGACGACAGGAAAACAAATAGATTTTTTGTTTCCTTTCTTCATTGAAAGGAAGATACGTCTCCAGGGATCAAGGGAAGAGATCCCCTTTGAGAGCCAACACAAAATGTTAAACAACCCCCAACCACAAGAGTCCCCTTCTCCTGGGAGGACGGCCTCCTTCCGGGGAGCCCAGCTCACCCTCCTGGCTGCCTTGCACTGCCAGTCTCGACTTGCCTTCTCTGAAACTCTCCTATGACTCCTGCCAAGTCCCAGTCACTCCTTTTCTGTCTGTGAACACCTCCCTGCCAATGGGGAAAAATAATTTGGCAAGCCAAGGAAAACGCACCTTGCAGACCCTAGCCAGTCTGTGCTGGATGCAAAGGATCCCATTACACTGCTTTTCTTAGTTACACAAATTGACCTTATGTGGGACATAAGTCCTCTTTAAGTTAGTACCTGCGAGTGCCATTCATTAGTCAGACATGCTTGTTTTAGCAGCACTAAAATGGGATCATAAACTTCTTAAAGTCATACAAGGACAGATAAAATTTCTGAAATGAGAACTTCAGCTAATCAGAAATTGGATTAATGCAGACAGTGAGTGGAATAAAGGAGCCACTGTCACTTACCATTAAACTTTCAAACTCTGCATAGAACTTCTTGAACTTGCTTGGCAGTTTCTGTTAATGAAATGAAAATGCCACACTCATATGTCAGATTCAATATCTAGATATGTATCGTGTGTTACCATTTCTAGGGGAAATGTACTTCTTTTGGCTCTTAATCAAACATCTCTAAGACAGGCTAGACTGTTATCTGTCCTGTCATTTGAGGATAATCTTAGAGATCTCATCTTTTAAAAGTCTTAACCTAGTTGAACCTAAATTAACTATGGATGTTTTTGGTCTTATTGCTTTCTATAATGTTTTCTGAAATGGATTATGCATAAAGAGGGCTGTATTCCCAGACTGCAAGTGGTTTGGCATTAACCCCCACCACACACTGTTTTAAACTCTCAAATTCCCACAGTGAAGAATTTAGACCAGCGATTATTACGATTAAAAGTTTTAGAAACTACCTAGTTCAACCTTCCTCTTCCTTTACCATGTAACCTACAAGAAAGAGAACAGGGATTTTTATCAGTTTTTTTTTTTTTTAATCGCTGTATTCTCAGGGCCTAAAAGAGTAGCAGCATGATGTCAGGTACATAGTAAATGCTCAATACATATTTATTTGGCTAGATTAAACCTTTTCTTTATAGACAGAAGAAATTAACCACCAGGTTAAATGACATGCCAAAGTCACACAGCTGGTGATGGTCAGAGCCTCTGTAATTCATGTCTCCTGCCTCCTTTTCTCTTGTTTCTCTTCTATGTGCGACGCTTTCCTACACAAGCATGTCTCCCACAGGATTTCTCTGGCCTGCTCTAATACAAAAATTGATAGTTCTATCAATTTAGTAATTTCTCATGGTTATATCTTGGCAGATGATTTGAAACCACTGACTGTACCCGTACATTTACGCCAGTAGGTCAGTGATGAATCATTTTTCAATCTGTTGGTTCTCGCTTTGCTAGGTCCTGAGCCCATAGGAAAGCTGAACTTGTCTGACAGGGCCACACAAAGAGCAGTGTGATGTTCCCCATTCCGAGACCGTGAAAGTGCTGACCAAGTCTGGAGCCTTGGATGCCCCACTCAGTTCTGCTTCACACCGTGACGTCCCCGGGCAACAACTGACTCACCTGTCAGGCCTCTGCAATCCCCTCAAAGCTCCTCTCTCTCTTTTCTCTCTTCCGTGAATGGGTTGGACCTATTTCCATTTAAACACTGTTCTTGTTTAGTTGCTGAGTCATGTCTGACTCTCTGCAACCCCATGGACTGTAGCCTGCCAGGCTCCTCTGTCCATGGGATTTCCCAAGCAAGAATACTAGAGTGGGTTGCCATTTCCTTCTCCAGGGGATCTTCCTGATCCAGGGGCCAAACCCGCTTCTCCTGCTGGGCAGGCAGATTCTTTGCTGATGAGCCACTGGGGAAGTCCTTAAACACTGTAGAACATCTTATTTTGTTTCTAGGAACTAGTATCCTCATAATCTCTAAACTCATTGTCCTAGTGCCTCTTTTCAAGCTGGATTTCAGGGAAACCTGATATCCTTGTTTAGTGGGGAAGTTCAAAGCGATGAAGTCTGGCACGGACATCAAGGGATACAAGAGTCTCATGCCCCATGGAGCATTCAAATCACCATGCTCAGTGATAACTTCCCGTGAACACAGACAACTTATAAAATGAGGAGTTGATGGAATTTTTGGTTACGCCCGTCACTCTAGTTCTTTCTTTACTTAGCTGGCTTTTGGGTCAAAGGCAGGAGTGCATATGGGAATAAAACTTGTGTCTCTAACTATTATCTATGCACACCCTATGGACTTACTTTCCTGGTGACTCAGTGGTAAAGAGTCTACCTGCCAATGCAGGAGACATAGGTTCAATCCCTAGGTTGGGAAGATCCCTGGAGAAGGAAATGGCTACCCACTCTGTATTCTTGCCTGGAGGATTCCATGGACAGAGAAGCCTGGTGGGCTACAGTCCACAGGATCACAGAGTTGGACATGACTTTGTGACTGAACAACAGAAACGACAACAAAATCCACACCCCATGCTTCCAGAGCAGGGGTTCTCAAGTGGAGCCAACTTTTACTCACTCTCTACACCTGGGGATATTTGGTAATGTCTGCAGACCTTTCCTGATGTCAACACTGGGGTGGGTGGAGTGAGAGGTGCTACTGGTTATATAGCAGGTTGAGGCCATGCATGCTGCTTAGCCTCCTCCATGGCACAGGACAGGCCCCTCCACCCTCACGCATGCAACAAAGAATGATCCTGCCCCAAGTCATCACCACTGGGGCCAAGAAATGCGGCTCTGGGTCCTCACTCCCACTGGCTTTATCTCAGATGACTCTTTTCCCCTCTTTGTTGGAAGCATCTCCTGGGCCACGTGGTTTCACTCTCTTCTCTGTTTTGTTTCACTGACTGCCTCACACCTGCCCCCTAGTTCCTGGAGGGCAGACACTGTCCCTCAGGCTGATCCTGCTGCTCACTGCTGTGGTGTGGGAAGCACATGGGAGGGGGTCGGCAAGTCCAGGAAGATGAACCCAAGTCAGAGATGCTTGAGAATGCAAGCTCTCCCTGCAGAATGACCCAATTCCATTTCACCTTAACAGATAAATGTTTATACACGATGAGAGGGGGGGCTCTCCTCTTTGCAGTAGCATGCAAGGATGGAAACACAAGCTCACAGACTGATGTGTTTCTGCCTCTCCCTGTGGAATGAAGGACTAGATGATGAAACTCCCTTTCTTGGCTGCCTACACCCAGTCTCTGTGCACCGCCCCCCCCACCCCAAGAGGCCTCCTGTTTTTCTCTTTAGACCACAGGAAAGGGAATTCTGAGAGTGCTCCTCCATGCTACAGCCTTAAGGTCTAGCTCCTATTATGTGTACCTAGACCTGGCCTTCCCTGACCCCCATGAGCCTTCATACCTGATGATTTTCTCAACCAAATGTTTGGTTTGATTTTCCCAAACCATACATGATTTTCCTAACCAAATCATTTGGACTCTGCAAGAGGATTAAATGCTGGAAACAGGTAAGGGAAAGCAGACTCTCTGAGAAGTTACCCTAGATTTCCAAAGATTCCAAGAGCCGTGGGCTACAAGAAGGAGAGGCTTGCACCCTGGCTTCACGGCTCAGATTTCTTGGCAGCGCTAACTTTCACTAGCCGGAAGATGCCCGAGATGCGCGGCACACGGGCCTCACCAATTCCCTCATTCCTATATTCGGGGGATGAGCTGCTGTGTGCTGCATCTGCCTGGAATTTTCAGAGAAACCCAAGACAGAAGGATCTGTAAGGACCTGTTTTATAAACAGTGGAAACACAGAGGAGGGACAGAGGGGAAAAAACAGTTTCAAGAGGGAAGTGGGCAGGAAAATGTTTCAAAGAAAACATTTAGAGATGCAAACAGCTGACTTCGGTACCTTTTTAAAGCATCCTTGCGAATTAAGTCTCTCTCATCTACTCCTTGCCCTCTTTTTGTGTTCCACTTACACATACTTTTTCTATTTTTAGTAAGAGCCTATTTTTGTGTCTATGTTCTATGAGAGATTAGTATTTCTTTGACTATATACCACATGTAAGGGGTCAGGCATATTTTGAGTACTTAGCTAATGAAAAACGAAGCTGTTCTCTAGCATAAATAACCAACTGTCAACAAAACATTCATTGTATTTGCCGTAGAAATTCACCACACACCTGCTTAAGTTTTGCACCAAACTGAATTCTAGCCAACTGTTGTTCCTTCCTACCCACAGAGGTCTGCCAGGTAGTTAGGAGATACTTGGTCCTCAGCTGGGCCAAACAGTTGTCCTTCTGGCTAATTCTCCCAGGAGCAAGATGACTACTTGGATAAAAATGGATCTTCTGTCCTCTCTTAATTACAGATACAGCTTATTTCAAAAGCAAGAGGCAGACACCAGAGCAGAACAGGATCTATGAGCAAGACCTCTGAAGTTAAGCAAGCAATGCTGTTGATTCTGGTTATACCTAGGAACTAGACTTATTATTTATATTGTATAGAGCAAGAAGCTCAGACTCCTTTCTTTCCCTCCCCACTGCATCGGACAATGCCTTTTAAAATTCACTCTCTGAGGCAAAAGGAGACAGGTCACCTCCCTCAAGGTGTCCCACCTTTTCCACTGTTACATAAGTGTGAGTGATACTTCTATTAAAAAGGGCTCACTGATGAGTTTATGTTTTTGTTCTTAAGGCAAAAGTCACAGCTGGGTCTCTGCTGATGCTTACCTCCCATGTTAGTGCCAGGCGGCTCACAGCTACGTTACTTAGTCCCATGACGATGGCAAAAAAGGAATTCAGATTTTTGTATTCCTTACAGCTGAAACACAAGAGGCACATGTTGTAGTAAAATGCCACTTTTGAGTGAGAGATAAACAAATTAGAGTTCTATTTTCTGATGGTCATTAATAGTCATCAGGACTCCTTCACAAAAACAGGCACTGATAGATTTAATGCTTTAAGTTCCACTTGGGTGACCGTGTTCTGTTGTTTGATTTCTTACTGTAATATTAGAAAGGTGATGGTTTTAGCCATCTAGGTTCAGGTTTTGAGAAGGAATTTCAAGACACCTACACTAGGCATTGCTATTATAATCCCAAAGCTTGCTAAAAGCCCTGTGGACCTGGAGGAGAACATCTCATGGGCTAGGAAAAGACACAGCAAAATGTCCTTGGAGAATTCCAGGTCAATGCTGGACACCTTACACTCTGGTAGCAAGAGAGGGAAATAAGGAAATGATGCCGCTGCAGCCGCCAGGGCTTCCAGCTGCCATGTAATACTTCTAATTTGTTGAAAAATCAATTTACAAATCATGATCCCTCCAGTGCAGGAGACCTGGGTTCAATCCCTGGGTCAGGACAATACCCTGGAGAAGGAAATGGCAACCCACTCCAGTATTCTTGTCTGGAAAATTCCATGAACAGAGGAGCCTGAAAGCCTGGGATTGCAAAGAGTTGCACATGACTGAACACACGCACACACAGCTAATAACCCAAACAACTGACCAAAAAAATAACCTTATTTTTTCTGTAATTTTTCAATGTCCATGAAGCCGATCATTTTGAACCTGTACTTATGCCATTATTAGCTTTTATGAATATATATCTGGGAATAAGAATATTTTGGAACAAGACCAAAGGTTCTTATCAAAATGCAACATTTAGTCTAGGTACTTGGTTTAACTTAAGAAGAAGAAGAAAAAAAGGAATCTTCAATTTCTTCATACCCACTCCTTGCAAAGGGAAAAGAATTCACTTTGCAATGAGCACAAATCCTTTACAAGTCAATATGGTTATCTAAGTTGACTACATCATAATTAAATCTTGTTTGGATTAGCATTTTTGCAAGAGGCTAATTAAATTGCTGCGTTTGCTCCCTGTGTTCTCCTTGCAGAGTGCTTCATAAATGGTCTGTGTGGAAATGGGAAAACAGATTTAGAGAAGCTATGGCATGTCTCTCGCAGTGCTGGGGGAATGGTGGGGCTTTATCTGTGCAGGGGCGGTCAGGGGCTGAGAGCAACTTCAGATACCGCAGGCTGAAGGTGGCGAGGAGGGTCATGGAAACGCCCCTTGCCTTCGTCCTAGCAGTGTGCTCATGAAAGGATGTGCAGGACTGCAGGCCTGCCTCTCTGCTCACAGCTCTGGTCACTTGATTACCCTAGGTAAGTCACGAAATTTCTCTCTGCCTCAGTCTGCCCCACCTGGAACAGGCAAGGATAACATGTGGACTCCCAGCTTCACAAAGTTCTGGGCAGGTCGAAGAGCTTCAATAGAATATATGGAAGTTCTCCAAAAATACCACGCAGAACATACTTCCTGCCACTAGGTTTACATCTCATGCATGAGGATCCTGGTTTCTGAGTCTACAGTCTTCTCCAGTTGGATTGTGTGAAGAGTTCTACTGTGTGGGATGTATGTGAAGTTGCTCAATCGTGTCCAACTCTTTGCGACCCCATGGACCGTAGCCCACCAGGCTCCTTCTCCATGGGATTTTCCAGGCAAGAATACTGGAGTGGGCTGCCATTTCCTTCTCCAACTGTGTGGGATAGTGCAGCTTAAATAATGTTAAATAACATAAGCCAATTTATCCTGAAGGCTAAATTCACCCATAAGCAGAAGGAAGAGAGAGATAGAAAGGCAAAAACATAAAAAAAAAAAAAAATTCCGGAGTTCCTGCAAGGCTCTCCCCCACTGCTCTGTAAAATAGCAGCGGCAGGCCCCTACAGGTTTTCCATCTCCACGTCTGTGTGCAGACTTCCTCTGCCCTCCCTCGGAGCACGCGGCCCTGCCAGGCTAAGGGGAGGAGAGGAGGTGCCTTAGAGAACAGGGAAGCACATACTGTCACAGCTTCCACAGTCATCTCCTTCCAGATAGAGACATCTGGCCCCCGCAATCAGCCGATTCAAGGCTTCTGGGAAAGTGGTTGCACTCCGAACCAGAAATTCATAAGCAACATTTTACCAAATCTTTCTTTCAAAAGGCATTTCTCCCCCTCCCAAATTAAGAGATACCAGCATTTGAATCCAAGGGTTTTGGATATCCCGCTGAACTCCCAAATTTTTGGCAAAATAATTCAAGGCATTTGGCAAGCTGGCATGTGTGAAATGTCAAGCAGTGGTTGCTTCTTTGTTTAGCTCTGGAAATTAGACTCTGGACAGGATCTAAACTTTTTGGCTCAAGCAAACTGCCCAGCTGGGGTCACTTGGGCTCCCCACCTTCCTAGGCTAGAGCTCCCTGCTTTTAGAAAGGAAAGACGTCTCGCAGCCACAAGCTGCATTTAGCGTTTTATTTTTAGCACTGTGGTGATACCAGAAACATGGAAGTAAACAGGAGGTTGTCAGGCATATCTAAATAGCAGGAGAAGATTAAATTCATGTCAGGGAGAAATCTAACTGGCCCCTGCAGTAAATAAATTGTTTCCCACGAAGTGCTGTTAAGTAGAATATTTATAAGACGCTTGCTTTTTCTGATGTTTATGGAGATGGTTTTCATGGGCCAGGTTAGCTTCATGCATTTTATGGATTTTATCCTGGCTGAGTTGGGAGCACACCACCCTCTACTGGCTAAAACGCGTCAAGTTAGACCTCGACTCGCCCAGCCTTTCAAACAGAACTTTTGCAGTAGAACTTTGCTGACAGAGCCCTTAAACTGAAGGAGGTCTCAGTAGTTCAGAGCAAAACAGAGGTCATGATTTTAACTTGAGCCTCAGTGCTGTAGGATGTTAATTTATATATTAGTGTCAATATTACAAAAGCTAGACGAAGCACAACTTTCACAAGAGTTCAGGTACTCTTAAGTCCCTGTGGTTGGTATGTTAGTTGCTCAGTCGTCCCCAGACTCTTTGTGACCCCATGGACTGTAGCCCACCAGACTCCTCTGTCCATGGAATTCTCTAGGCGAGAATACTAGAGTGGGTTGTCATTTCCTTCTCCAGGGGATCTTCCTGACCTAGGGATCGAACCGGGCTCTCCTGCATTGCAGACATATTCTTTACCATCTGAGTCACCTGGTGCATAAACAGATTTAATATCTCATTTTGCTTTTTAAGGTGTAATCTAAGGGGACAAAATGAAACCACAGCTCAAATGTTTTTCTCTCCCCGAGTGAATACTTACTGGGCTGCGATCTTAATAAATTTTTTTAAGAGCTGAACACGCTTGCTAGGCTGGGAACAAAGGCAAATCTCAGTGACAACCCAAAACTGAATTTCATTAAACCTCCTCAGGAACAAATCCAAGTTTGCTGTGGTCTTTTTAAAATGATGCCTTCCAAATGTGTGATAGATTAGCTCCAGCTAGAAGAAAGGAAAACAGTGTCACATCTTTTTTTTAAATCAAAACACCAGCTTGCTCCTCCATTTGACATGCCAAATTGACACTGGTCAGCAAGCATGAATATAATCACTGACTGGAATTCAACTTGAACTTCAGCTTGAAGACCTCAGAAGCTCAATGAGGCTTGCTGAATACTGTAACTATAAACTAGGTGCTATGGGCTTAACATACTCAGGAAGACAGAGCTTATTGCAAATCGTAAAGATTTTTCTTTACTCTCAAAGGCTTCATAACAGGCTTTATTAATATACTCAATATTTGGGGGGAAAAAACCAACAAAAAACATCTCACGTGACTTTCACATTGCAGCATGTATTCACATTTGCAGGCAACATCCAGAACTGCCATGAAACTTATGAATGCATGCTCTCAATGGAGCACCTTACCTCATGCACACAGTTGAAGAGCTCCCAATCATAAATTGTCATCTGGTAGGCCAAATCTTTGGAGCTCATCAGTTCAAAAGTTCCCATTGTTCCAACAGTTGGGCCCTCCTGCTCTGGCAAGGGAGTCTATGAATAATAATACAAAAATATATCAGTATCTCAAAACAGACATGCTGAATGCTGTTAGGACTTGGAGGGGAGAGGATTCTGAAGATGCTTTAAGGAATACCTTGAAACTTTGATTTTTACCCAGAGGAGAAAAAAGCCTTTGCTCTTAATGCTCACTTGCCTCCATGTATTTTTATAGTAACCATTATCACTCTAATCAATTCCACTGACTGAAAAACATGGACCATGGCAAATAAGATTCAGTGACAACTGACCTATGGAGGTTCTCTTCTGCATGGGCCTGGGAGCTCCCTGGAACCAATTCCTTTTCCCTGGCAAACATGTAAGAAGTTCTGTTTCCCATTGAGGCTGTTCCAGAGCAGGTACTGGCATCGTGGTTTGGGTGTTTAGCTACTTATTATGGCAGGGGCTGGTGACACTGGTAAAGTTGCTGCATCTCCATCTCTCATAATAGATTGCCTGGGACTGCTAGGTGAAAGAAGGGTCTGTGATTACATGGGATTATATGTGATGTTCATTTCCTCCACTTTCTGAGAGATGTAGAGCTAGGAATGATAGTCACATAGTCATGGTGTTTGGAGCTAGGCATCAGAAAACTAAATTCTGCTACTTTCTGGAAGACCCTTGGTCAAAATTTTCCATCCAATTTACGTACTTCATTTTTACTTTATGAGAAATGAATTAGGGTGCTTTTCCTTAATAAGATGAATGATTTGTATATACTAGAAACTTTACTTATATTCATACCCATTGATCTGCAATAATAGTTTAAAGTTATAAAAGTCACATGAATTAAAAGATAGTTTCCCCAGCATGATACATATTTGGATATCCAGTATTTAGGTTGGAAGTACTAATATTGTTCACACTCTTATCATTATTCATCATTGTCATCATCACCCATAACCTTGATATTCTCTAAATGCTTGCTGCTTTCTGGGCATTTGAAAGTTTGCAGTTTAACAGAGGAATCAGCTCTGACTTGTGAATATAGCACTGCATGTCAATAAAGAATCAGCTGTTGGCATTCGTTTGCATGTATGTATAAAGGGACAGACAGAAGCATCAATAAACACCTGACTCCCAGATATGTGAAAAACAGGTGAGGAAACATGAATGGGCTTTTGAGAGGTAGTGGGCATTTGGAATGAATATGTAGCCTTAAGAGGTTCTTGGGAAAACAAGCTGGGCTTTAAAAGATGAAACAGATGAAACTGGGCAGGTTTAGAAGGGCAAAGTTTTCCCTGAGTATCCAGAATGGTGGGTCGTAGGTTGGAGGATGGCAGCCAAGGCATGAAGGTGGGGATGTGTCATCAGACTTGCTTGGCAGGAACAGAGAGTTCAGGGGAACAGAAATGACCATGTTAGAAAGTCTTGGAGTGCCCAATGGGAATTAAGGTTTTGTAATAGACCAGGTATTAGTGCCTGTTTCAGAGAGCAGCAGACCCTGAATGTAAACCCCACTCTAATTACATAGACTTGGATGATCCCCTAATCTGTTGACTATCTTTAGCTCTTATGAGTTGGGGTCCCACTACCTAGTACCTAGATACCACTCTAATGGCAGAAAGTGAAGAGGAACTAAAGAGCCTCTTGATGAGGATCAAAGAGGAGAGTGAAAAAGCTGGCTTAAAACTCAACATTCAAAAAACTAGAGCATGGCATCCGGTCCCATCACAGCATGGCAAAAGGATGGGGAAAGAGTAGAAACAGTGACATTTTATTTTCTTGGGCTCCAAAATCACTGTGGATGGTCAGTGACTGCAGTCATAAAACTAAAAGACGCTTACGATTTGGAAGAAAGGCTATGACAAACCTAGACAAAAGCAGAGACATCACTTTTCTAACAAAGGTCCATTTAATTAAGGCTATCGCTTTTCCAGTAGTCATGTATGGATGTGAGAGCTGGACCAGAAAGAAGGCTGAGTGCAAAGAGTTGGTGCTGGAGCCTTTAAACTGTGGTGCTGGAGAAGACTCCTGAGAGGCCCCTGGGTAGCAAGGAAATCAACCCTGAATATCCATTGTAAGGATTATGCTGAAGCTAAAGCGTCAGTACTTTGGCCACCTAATGCTAAGAGCTAACTCACTGGAAAAGACCCTGATCTGGGAAAGATTGAGGGCAGGAGGAGAAAGGGGACCATGGAAGATGAGATGGTTGAATGTATCACCAACTCAATGGACATGAGTTTGAGCAAACTCCAGATGATAGTGAAGGGCAGGGAGGCCTGGCATGCTGCAGTCCACGGGGTCGTTAAGAGTCAGATGTGACTTAGTGACTTAACAGCAACAACCACCTGGTACCTAGGCTTGTTAAGAGAACAGGATGGGAATAATTTAAGTGTGAGCACATGCCCAGCACAGAGGTACAGGAAGAGTGAGGAGTACAGCACCTGTGTGTACGGGCCAAACACTGTTGTTGCCGATTCACCCTAGGGCAGGAAGAGCAGGGCACAGAGACCATGGAAGAAAAATCATTATTCTAAAGTTTTAAAACTTAGGGAACTGACTTGAAGCTAACGGGCAAGTAGTTTATGGAAACAAGCAGTATGGTCTCAGGTAGGAATGTCAGGAAGCTCTTAAATGCTCAGCAGGTGGACTCTGTCTAAGGCTCTGGCTGACTGTCCACATCCTACCTTCCCTCTTGCCTGTTTGCTCTGCTGTGGACCTGCCCTCTATTCCTTGGGTTTGTTCTTTCCTCAGTCTGAGTCCTTATCTCTTTCCCTTGAGGCCTTATGGCTTTCACAGAGGGGATACATTAGCCCAACTGCAGGAAAGATGGCTGAGTGCCAAAGAATTGATGCCTTCAAACTATGGTGCTGGAGAAGACTTGAGAGTCCCTTGGACAGCAAGGAGATCAAACCAGTCCATCCTAAAGGAAATCAACCCTGAATATTCATTGGAAGGACTGATGCTGAAGCTCCAATACTTTGGCCACCTGATGCGAAGAACTGACTTATTGGAAAAGACCCTAATGCTGGGAAAGATTGAAGGCAGGAGGAGAAGGGGGCAACAGAGAATGAGATGGTTGGATAGCATCACCAACTCAGTGGACATGAATTTGAGCAAACTCTGGGAGATGGTGAAGGATAGGGAAGCCTGGCGTACTGCCGTCCATGGGGTTGCAAAGATTCGGACACTGAACAACAACAGGGAAGATGCCATAGAATACTTTTAGACATGGATACTAGTATATCATCCTGAATCCCTTTTGACAGAAACAGAAACCCCTGTTGAATCTCTACTTTTTATGAGTGAACAGGGCTCACCAAGCAAAGGGCAGGCCGACTGCTTCCCTCCATGAACCACCAGGGAGGCAATCTGAGTGGTACAGAAGACTCCTCCATCTGAAGGGGGAATTACATGCTGGTCCCTTAGGAAGCAGATTCCTGGACCATTTTCTCCTAGATATCCCTGTGGAAATTTCCTACAGATGAAGCACAGAAGAACCTATGTAGGGTCTGCATTACACAGACAGATCTGAAAAGTGCCCACACCAAGGCAAAGAACTCCTGTAGACTTGACTTTGCTCTTTTTGAGATCTGATTCATCTGTTAAGCTTGGACGGGGTGATTAGGAGAATAGCACTCCTATGCTCCCATTGTCCTGACGAGGGAACTAAGACATTAAAAGGATGTGCTGATTGTCAGTGACAAAGAGATGGCTAAAGCAAGCTGTCACCCAGTGTCCTCTTTGCTTGGGCTCACACACTCGGTACCCAGCTCTGCAGTGGCATTTGTCACACTGGATGCCACCACACTCTGGTGTCCCACACTGCACTATGAGCTCCCTGAGGTGCAAGGACCATGATGGATCGATTTTCAAGACCATGCTAGAGCCAGAATCATCCACAACGCCTGGAATGATACAGGTTAGGCCCCAAAGAAAAACCTAAGAAGCTAGTGAATGGATAAAACTAGAAGCAAATTACAGTACAATGGGGTTTTATTGCAAGTTGCTCTGTACTAACATTTATGCTTAAAATGTCAAGAAAGTAAAGCTCTAGAATCTGAGCCCTTAAGTGACTAGGACAAACTGCTGACACTACTAATTCTAGACAGCACTTCAGCACTACGGTTTGTTCTGTTCCAGGCTGTTTGTGTTAGTTTCATCTCCCAATTTGACCATGATTATTGTAAGGACAGAGGCTCTGGGACACTGGTCCAGTGTCACGCAGATGCCGGCACTTCATATAAGTATGTGTTGATGGATCAAAGGTCTGGCCAACATTCTGTACTGCAGAGTCATTCTGTGTCCGACTCTTCCTGGATGGACTGTCCTCAAATCTTTAGAAAGTTGGAAAAAGAGCATGCCTACAGTTTTGTGACCACTCCTTAGAAACGATGGCATAACTGGCAGGCCAGTGAATGGCAGAGCACCAAGAGGGAAGAAGTTAAGCATGTTCACGTCCAGATACTTGCCGTAAAGTAAGCTCCTTGCAATTACGAACGGCTTAAAAATGGAAGACTAGGAAGGACTGAGAACTTGTAAGGCTGCAGGGTTGTGTGCAAATAAACAGAGGCTTAAAAATTTAGTATCTTCCCCACAGAGAGCTGGAGATGGTCCACATTCTGCATCTATACACCATGTCATCAGACACTGAGGCCAAGAACCAGCTGGCAAGAGAGGCCCAAGCCCCGAGTGGCAAACGCATCACAGAACACCTTCAGCAGGTCGGCAACTAAACTGGGTTTTGCTGCCAGGAGAGGGTAGTCTGACTCATTCATGCCATTTCTCTCCCCAATCTCTCAAAACTGGGAAGTATTTATTTTCAGAAAGCAGTGGATGTAGATAAGGAAAAAGCCATGAAAAGGGCAGTGAACAGACTCATATCATACAATGCTGGTGGGTGAGGGAGGTCAGGAGAACTCATGCCCCTTTGGCAAAGTTCCTCTCCAGGTGAATTCAAGAAATCACAAAATCTGCTTAACCTGTGCAGCTGCACAAACTAGCTCTCCCCAGGTCAGAAGGTCAGAATCACAATGAGGCTAAGCAAGCTCTAGAAAGTCCAAGAAGGGGAATCTTGATTTACCTACAACATCTGATCTGATTAAACTGAATGTCTTCGTGCTTCACTCGTGTAGTTAAATTCTCCCCACTAAAATGCAATCCAGCTTCCTTGGTGGCTCAGAATCATCTGCCAGTGCAGGAGTTGCAGGTTCAATCCCTGGGTTGGGAAGACCCCCCAGAGAAAGAAATGGCAACCCACTCCAATATCCTTGCCTGGGAAATCCTATGGACAGAGGATCCTGGCAGGTCCATAGGGTCACAAGAGTCAGACACGACTTGGCAACTAAACAACAACAACAAAATGCAACACACTACAGTGCTTGTGTTGCACTTTTCTTAGTAAAGAAGCCCTGTCTGTCTAACAGATGGGAAAAACTAGTCCTCTGAACTGGCCCCACAGGCTCTCGAAGATACTCTAATAGTGATTCATTTCGATGCCTAACTATTGAAGGAGAAACAGAAATGAACCCCACCAGAGCATAAAGGAGAGAGGGCCAGTCACTTGTTAACACGGTTGATTAAGCCTTTACTCAGAGAGCTGTGTGGGGCTGTGAACAGTGTTTTGGAGACTTAGGGAAGACAGCTGGCCTCTGATATTTCCTGCAGAAGATGGAGAGAGCCCTTTCAGGGAACAGCATTTTCCCTGGACCGTACAGTGGCTCTGTCATAATGCATTTCTACATCCCCCTAAGGAGCAGGATAAATCGCAATGTCTGGCCTTAAAAAAATTATTTCTATCCTGGTCTCTAAGTGTTCATGTTTTTTAATATCAGTATTTAAATCAGGGACATTTCAAGGAGGTGAATTACTATAAAGAGTTCTGAAAGCTGAATTATGCCCCAATCATAGTGCAACTTGGTGAATTTTCACAAAGGAAAATCTAAAGCTCAGAGCGTCTCAAATGAACACCTGAGGCTTACCTAATAGACCGGAGAAAAGAAAAAGACAAGTGGCATTCAAGAATTTTTTTAGCAACTGAGTTCAATGTGACTGCAAAATTAAGCTCCAGACAAGTTTTTCTGATTGCAGACGCTGCTCCAAGGCGGCCATCCACACCTACCAGTGAATCGAATTGCTCTCGCGGGCAAGCAAACAGACGTCCATTAATGGTGAGCGTTGTAAATACGGAAACATCATTAGGTTTGAGCACCACCTTTTCTGTGAACATAAAAAGCATGAGATTGCCTATTAAATGCATCTGAGATTTGCTGTACTGCCCTAATCACACCAACAAATTGCCAGCTTGGTGAATTACTGGAACATGCAGAGTGACTGCACAAAATACTGTACTGAAGGGATCCACTGAATAAAAAAGACACAGCAATCACGCAGGCACACAACACTCAGGATGCCATCAGAAATGACCCCAAAACAGGGATGGAAATACCTGAGGGTCAATTTACCCAGTTCTGCATACAAAAACCGCACCTGCCATTTAAAAAACAAGTTATGCTTCTAGATGGTAATTAATGCCCAGCCTTTTGGAGATGACAGTATCACTTTTAGAAAACTTAGGGGTTTTCTGAGTCCCACATGACTTTTGATATAAAATTTATCACTATTTTTTCATTCATTCCCTAATTTGGAGGGCAACTGCATTATTAGATGAAGTCTCTTATATTTAAAATAGTTCATGCAAAAGATATTTGTTTAGCATTTACTATATGCTGGACACTGCTCTGGACACTGAGGATACAGAAGGGAATGATACAAAAAAAATAGTCCCCAAAGAGCTTACATCATAGTGAGGGATGCAGACAGTGACAATGCATCAGAGAGTAAGCAGTGAGGAGGAGACGACAATAGAACAGGGAGGGAGGCTGGGAAGGATGGATAAGGGGGAATCAGGAAGGAAGGAGGGGGGCCTCCATGCGACAAGGACAGGAAAACCTGAAGGCAGTGAAGGAGGCACCTGGGAGAACTATGGTGAGAGTGTGCCAGAGGGCTCATGGTGGACGGACAGACGTCCTGGATCATGTGCACCAGGAACAGAAATGGAGGGGGTTATTTTGGGAATCTAAGATATATTTAAAAATTCTGCCTCAGAGGAATAATTTGTCTTTAAATGCGGCAGAAATGTCCTCCCTCAGATCCTGAAGCATCCTCCAATGAGTATCGAATCATTGCTGGATAAGCGAGCCTCAGGGCTGCCTCCCGCAGCCTCTTGCTGCAACCCGTGCAGACGCTTCCAAAGCTCTGGTCACCTGGACGGTGACTATTTCTTGTCTCCCTCCTCACCAGCCTGAGCCACTTGGAGGCACAGGCTCTGCACACACCGCCCCTCCTGTCACAGCCACACCGAGTGGCCAGTAAATACATCATCGCTGAAAGCAGGCAGTAGTCAAGTGATCCTGTGGGGGAAAAGACTCCTCCCTTTGTCAGTGAGCTGAGTTCCTGCCCTTTCTACTGGGAAAGGAGGGAGACATCATCAGTCAAAAAGAACCAGCCTGTGACCACCTCTAACTTCAGACTCATGAAAACCTATAAGCCTTTAGCCAGAAAAGCCAGTGTCCTCTTAGGGCCCACATGTCTCAGAGCTCCAAGGCCTTAAACTTCTTTTTTTTTTTTTTTCTTAATTGAAGTATATTTGATTTACAGTGTTGTGTTATTTTGGGGCTTCCTTGGTAGCTCAGATAGTAAAGAATCTGCCTGCAATGCAGGAGACCAGGGTTTGATCCCTGGGTCGGGAAGATGTCCTGGAGAAGGGAGTGGCAACTCACTCCAGCACTTTTACCTGGGAAATCCCATGGACAGAGGAGCCTGGTGGGCTACAGTCCATGAGGTTTCAAAGAGTCAGATATGAATGAACAACTAAGCACATTGTGTTATTTCAGGTATATAGCAAAGTAATTAAGTTATACATATATATGTATTTATACACACACACACACGTATATTTTTTCAATTCTTTCCTATTATAGGTTATTATAGCATTAAGTGTTTCTGTTTAGGGTTTACAGGAAAACTCCAGGCTGACATCCACACCAAAGACCTCATTCCAGCTGCCTCTTCATCTCTTTCTGCTTCAGAGTGGGCACCTACTGGATAGGCGATATTAAGACACTAGCCCAGCCCGCTTCTAACCACCTTCATTTCTGTTATTTGTGGGCACACACACAGCACCCACTTGCCCCTTTGGATCAGCTTGAAAGGGCCCCACTAACTTCCTGCCAGGGTTCTGTTTGATGGCATATTCCCCTCTACAGAAGACTCTTACCTCCCCCGGAACTCATCTTGACGATGATCAGGCCTTCCCCGGAGCCCAGTTTGTCGGCAACTGCACTGAGGACTTCCTTCACCGAGGCGGCCACTGGTACCCGGATGGTTGTGTAGGTGTGGTCCATGCAATAGACTTTAAACAGAACTATTGGGAAGATAGGAACAATAAGATAAATTGGTCTCGGGAGTTCTTAAACAAAACCATAAGCTGTGCAAAATGTTTGGATGCATCCTCCAAAATTTGCTTCATTTTGCCATTCTTATGACTTGTATTTATTTGTGTTCGTGGATGCCTACACTTGTCCTCTTCTAAAACTTACCTTAGCATTGGTCTAAGAACAGTCCATGACTGCCAATCCCAGTTACAAAAATCACAACAGATAGTTGTGAAAAACCCACACACAGATCATGGGAAAAGAATGAGAGGTATGTTTAGGTAAGTTTTTGGGGTCTGCCCTTGTCTGTGAGTGTTTCTTTTTCACAACACAGGAGTGTTGTGTGGTAGGCAGATCACTAGATTCCCACTGCCTGGTTCAGTGATGGGGAGCCGGCATTAACACTCTTGCAAACAGGAGTGCTTCTGCCTGGGGTCATGAACATTTATTTGCTGATTCCTGCTCACTTGTCCACTGGTGTGTGTACTCTGAGGCCTGGCCACATGGCTTGGGTGGTGTTCAGTTCAGTAGATCTGCATGTGGTATCCACACATTCAGCTCTGAACAAGTCCTGGAAGTAATTCCATCTCCTGTAATTCTTGAGTTTGGGGCACCCCAAAATTACAGCATTCGTCTGTGGCTGAAGATGGAGATTTCATCATGATCATTTTATTTTGGCTGTGACTCTTCAAAGAAATCTTAACCAAGAAAACAATAGCAGCCGCATCTGGGCCTCCCCGATGGGTGCTAATGAGGTAGTGCTCAGGGCGGGGGGCACTCTTCCTGGGCGGGAGCCCTGCTTGGCAGTTGAGCAGGTGACTCTGGTGCTCCACCTCTGAGAGGCATCTGCAAAACACCAACCACCTTCCAGCCACCTTGACAACTGGCCCCTGAGATAATCTCTCTCTCCCTCAAGGAAAGGTGGCAGTGGGGTAGAGGCAGAATCAGAGAAGTGTGAACAAGCACCTTGGCTCCAGGTCCCACGTTCAAGGACAAAAATAACTGGAATGCCAAAGGGCACCTCCAAGCAGACCATCTGGAGTGCACAGAGAGCCAAGAAAAGCTATTCTGTGGGCACAAGGGGTGATGCCAAGAGGGAAGATTTCATTCTGACTTTAAATAATCTACACACACTAGAAAAGAAATCTCACCTTCATCAGAGCCACGGATAGGCTGGCGCTTCTGGGCTCTCTCATCGCCCGTGTTGAACTGTTGCAAAAGAACTTTGTGCTGTAAAAATAATAACAATAGTAGCTGCCGTAAGGGGAGGATGACAGATGAATATCTGCAACTCAGAGGACACATGCCTGAGAAGCAGAGTCAGGAAATAAAGAAAACATATTTTGTATTTACAAGACATCACTGTCACATATTGCGATGTTATATTTCTGGAGAACTGTCAGTCTAGAGGGCACAATTAGAGAATCCTGATCTATTGCCACTGACCTTCTTTTGTGGAGCCTTTGCATCTTCTGAACTACGAGAAACAGAGAAAGCACATTATTTAACACTGTTGGTACTATTAAACTGCTTCACTTGTATATAACTTTAATCTTGTGTTAGAAATGAAATCGCAGCATCCCTTCAGGAGGCAATATGAGCCTCCTTATTTTAGTACCAAGAGGCCAATGCACAGAGGGGACAGCTAAGAGATCAGCTCTTGTCCCAGGCAGATCCCTGGTCTAACTGAGGCTAAAAGCCAGGATTGCTCACTCTCAAAGTCTATCTAGTAGCCAGTATTTAATCAGTGGCTCAAAGGACAGCATGTGCAAACCCATGTTTCCACTTAGAGGACACAAGTATTCACCATTAACAGCTCTGGCAGCAGAAAGTGAATTTCCCACGTAAATAATTCTCTTCAAACTTTCCTTAAATGCCACTGACCACTGTGGTGTTGGGTTCCTTGACTTGAACCAAAGGGACCCAGGTTTATTGAGTCAGATGTCCAAGTAGGATCTCTGGCTCCCCAGGTTTTCTCTGGGCAGCTGCCTGGTGCAGAAGGCAACTGAGCAGAATCTCCGCCCTTTTGTTCCTGTGGCCTGACTGCACCCCCTCACCTGAGGCCCACACCACTCAAATCAGCTTTCGCCCTTTGTGGGGACAAAGGACTTTTTGGATGATGATGTGATTGAGAGGCAGCAGGCACTTACTTGGTGAAAGCTCACCCCAAAGCCAAGCCCTTCCTTACATTTGCTTGACAATCTTCTCCAGCTCAGGCAGTTGCTCCTTGAGGGCGGCAAGCATCCGGGCATCATCTGATACAGATACATAAAACTCCTGTAATTGGCAAAGGTCACAGGCTTTTAACAAGAACTGCAAAAGGTACGTAATTCTGCAAAGAGCAACAAAGACATGTCCCTATGTCATCTGCCTCACTAGCATCTCCAGACCATGGTTTTATGGACTAGGGACAAATAAAAAAATGTTACAGCATGTCTAAATTCAACATGGCAAGTGAGAAAAAAATTTTGGAAACTGATGGTAGTGATGCTTGTGTTCCATTGTGAGTATAATTAATGCTACTGAATTGTACACTTAAGAATGATTAAAATAGCAAGTTTTATGATTGCTATGTTCTACCACAATAAACAAATTTAAAAAATTTAAATCGCAAATGAAGTGTTTATATGATATTTATACCGAAGGCAAAGCAACGCAGTGTTCTGGAATGGGTTATTCTACAGTCTTTCCTTTAAGAGCGCTGCTTTCACCTCCATATTTTTTTCAGGGGAATTTTAATATTTATTTTGAATATTATTTTAGTATTTGTTGTTTGTTTGATATTTACTACTAGTCGTGGTTAACTGTTGGTGGTAAAAGTACAGCCATGGTTTTCAGCACTGCACTGAAGTTTTGCAGAGTTTATGTCACTAACTCAGGACTCTTCACTGATGTCCTGGGATGGTTCCACCACAGGGCAGCACTAGCCGTGCCCGGCTTTGCACAGGGGCAGTGGGCTCCCCAGCAGAAGCTGAGAGCCGTGGCAGCAGCAGCATCACCATCATTCTGACTCATCTGCAAAATGGTCCTTTACTCGAAGCAATAGGTAGAAGCCACAACCCAATGACCCAAGTGACTATTATTCCTCCACATCTTCAAAGTCTTTCATTCTGTAGTCTTGAGGGACTCTCATCATCCACCTTTCCTCCCAGCCTCATTTCTCTGCCTGCCAAATGATTATGACTAAAAAGGAGTGAGTGGGGATGTTTCTTTTGGATAACTCATTCTTAAACAAACAGACTGATAGAGTTTGAAACAGAAGTCATGTTGCCTTTCGCCTGCACAGAAATAAGGTCCTCATCTCAGTTTCGGAGGGCAGAGTGAGTCACTGAGGATTAAATGCTCAGGTCACTGTTGTAACGTGGGCTGGAGCCATGGGAAGGAAAAGGAAGTTCAGCTTAAATCAGTGTTTGCAAAGTAAGTCATGGCCCTTCAGAACCACTTCATGGGCCTAAGAATTCTTTAATAAAGTTATCTGCTCCACTGTACTCAAAAACATCACCATTTGATCTAGTAATCCCACTTCTAGGAATAGAACCAAAAATAGACCTATTTGTACAAAAGTGTTCATTACGCTGCTCTTCGAGGAAGGTAAAAATGGAAATGATATATTCAACAATATGGGAAGAAATAAATATATCTGTGGCATAGCTACTCAAAGGTCATTAGAAAATTTTATTAGAAAGACTCTACTGGCATAGAAAAATCCTCACATAAAGTGGAAAAGGCATCCTGTGAAATGATGGGTACTATGTTGATTAGGGACTTCCCTGGTGGCTCAGATGGTAAAGCATCTGCCTACAATGAGGGAGACCCGGGTTCAGTCCCTGGGTTGGGAAGATCTCCTGAAGAGGGAAATGGCAATCCACTCCAGTATCCTTGCCTGGAAAATCCCATAGACAGAAGAGCCTGGTAGGTTTCAGTCCATGCGGTCACAAAGAGTCAGACATGACTGAGCAACTTCACTCACTATGTTGATTATAACTACAGAAAATATAACAAAGAAAGCAACTAAATGAAAATACACCAGAATGCTATTACCAGTTATTGAATTGGATTGGCAGGATAATGGATGATGCTTTTCTTTACTTTTCTGGTAGTACCTTTCTGATGAATGAACATGTTAACAAAGCCTAGAATTTGCACTTACACTCCCTCCAGAAAAGCTGCCATGCTTGTGGGTGGTCCCTGTATTGTAGGACAAAGACACACTCTTGGAAGGGATGACCCCCACGTACCTCCAGGAAAGCCATCGCCACGTCATCCTCTTGTAGGACGTCTCCATACATGGCAGCCCACTGCAAAACCAGGCGGATGACTCGCCTCTTATTGTTGAGGGCATAATCCATTTTCTCTTGTTCTGTACCTTGTGAAGGCTGCGCATGGTAAGTGCCAAGGAGTCAAGGAAGAATATTTATCCATTTCACTGTGCTAAGAGCGAAGGTAGAATGACAGATCCCAGCTCCAGGAAGGCCTTTTGGACTGATAGAATTTCTTCCTTAGGCCCTCAAGAAAACCCCCACCTGCATAAAAGTTCTGGACCAAATGCATACAAACCCAGCAGACTTTGCCTTGATAGTAGCCCAAAGAATTAGACTTGCACAGCTCTACCTGGACTTGTGTGTTGATAAGGATTCTTGTTGCACCTAGCTTTGGCTCTCATCATATTCCGTGCCTGCCCTTTGCACTGCTTTCACCTCTATGGGTGGTAATGATTCCTGCTGTTGGGCCTAACCAACTCTCTTTGGCTCCCACAATTCTGGACACATCTCTATAATCCCTCATTATATGCACTTCAGTTAAACCCTTACAAGTGGGTATCTGGTCCTTCTGGAACTATGACTGATACAAAACGTACACGGGAAGGAAGTGAAGCTGAAGACAGATAAATTCACTGAGGGTTGAGATGAGGAAGCCTTCCTGCTGTATCCGTCTTCCGGTGAGGGACTCAGACGCACTTTTCATGCATCCTTTCTTCTCTTGTTCAGAACTATAATTTAATTCACATTGGCTTTTTGTGCATTAATGGCTAGTCATCCTAACTATAAACTCTTTGAGGCTAGGTTAATACATTATTCTTCTTATATTCTGAACCATGCCTAGCACACTGATACTTACATAGGAATTTTATCCATTAATACAACAGATACTTGATAGAGCGTCTATGTGTCTGGTGAAGGTCCCTGCTCTCAGTTTACATTCGTCTGTGGATTATATTAGGGAGAACAGAACATGTGATCAGGAAAGATTTTAGATTAGACATACTATTCCCTTTTCAGTGATTTAGAGTAGTTCATATTATAGACAACTCATTCATAAAACAATTTCCTCTTTATAACTGACACTTGTGCACACAGTACCTCAGTTAAGCCCTACTTTATAGTCTTGTGATGAAAGACATTGTTCTTTATCTACAAGTTAGCAAACGGACAGTAAAGGAGTGTAAATGACCAAGATTACATTGTGAGTTTTAAATCCAAGACTCCTAATTCCAACTAGTTTAGTCCCCATTACACAATATCCCCGTGCCTCATACCTGGCTACAAGACCGAGCATGTCCTAGCTTACGACCATGACTTAAAAGACACCGTAGAAAATTGTCCCCTGGCAGTGCTATACTTGGGAGCTAAACCGGTCAAGGGCCTTTTCTAAAGGGACTATAAATAATGATCAAGGTAAATGACAGAATCTTAAAGCAAAGGTTTACTGCATGTAAATGGGTTGCAAAATGGCTTTCATAAATTGAGCACGGGATTCATAAAAAAAGAAAATTGCTCAACCTGTATTGCTACAATTCTCTTTGAGCTTACAATAAAACAGGGAAGAAAGATCACTTTATGTGAAAATTATTTCTTTTCTGATTAACCCTTTGATCTCTTGCTTGTAGGCACACATAACTCAGTTTTTCTTTCCTAAGAATTGTAATGCTGGCCATTACATTTTAAGACTTTTTAGAGTACTTTGCAGTATAGCCAGGCACGTGGTGGGTACCAAATGGGTAATTCTTGGCTGATTGAAAACCACGTATTCATTCATCTATAAGTCAGTAAGAGAGAGAGACACTCTTTTCTACTTGTATGAGGCTGAAATGTTTGAAATATCAACATGACAGCAAGATGATGTAATTCTAACTTTCCAGGTTACCTTGACTTGGACTCAAGGAAGCAACACGAACACTTGTTTATTGGATCCAGAAACATCAGCTGCACACTTGTGGCTAACCTAGAGGGATTTAGTGTAGAATGACTAAATTGTCATTGTCTCTGTGGGTCAGGTAAAGATTCTTCTTGTCTTCTCTCTTGCTGGGGAAATCTGTCTTTTGTCTATGGTAAAAGATAGAAGACACAACTGGAAGGATTAACATGTTTAATACTTCAAATGTGTGTAGAGTATTATACTTTATAAGAAATATGTTTATTGTGCTTACATGATCATGTAATGCTCTCCACTAACCTGAAAGGTAAGTATTTACAGATGAGGAGACTGAGGGTCGGAGAGGACTTCTGCTCAAGATTGTTCAGTGAGTAAATGGCAGGGCTTACAAATACAGACAGGGCTCTTTCCATTATCGCCACTCCCATGGCCCAAACAGTGGCTATAGTGACTACACACTGGTGCTCGGGTTCATGAAATTATTATGAGTAGTTGCATCTAGGAAGCAAAAATCCTAATAGGAGAGATTTCTCCTTCTCTCTCTCTTTTCCTTCTCTCTTCCTTCCTTAATTTTTTGTTGAAGTTCCTAGCATTCTAGAAATGACTCAGCCAGTCCAATCCTGAAACCAAGGGCTGACTGCCTGCCACTGTTCACGTACACTCCATAGCCTCCTGGAGCTAGAATTGACTGAATTCAGTGGGATCAGGAAGAGGCTTTCCCTTTTTTCTTGTGAAAGTTACATATGTTTGCCTCTGGAAATAAACAAAAGGAAGCACTTATTTGTTTCACAAAGTCTTACCTTTCCTCTTTCAGGTATTTATTTACTAAGATGGAATGGGAGTTAATAGCACTTTTATACCTGAATCCAGGTATGTGCTCAAGAATTCAGCCCCTCCACAGACAACATATCATTCTATTCTTCAACAGTCTGCTGAACCAGATTCTCAGGGGACACAGACAGGACTTTACATGTAATGGATCAGATGGTTACAGGTGAGGCACTGGGGCTCCTGTTTATCCCCATAACAATCTATCGAGATGTCTAGAAGATTTATGTGATTTTTAGATTTTATTTAACTCCTACAAAAAACAAGTGGAGAGAGAAAAACTGTATTCTCTTCAGATAGTAATCAAAGAATAAAGAACATCTCACCAGGCCCCTTGTCTCAATATGATGTCAAAAATGCACCCTAACAAGAGTAACATTTCAAATATAGAACGTTCATTAATTCACATACATCAGAAAGGCTGCACAAACCATTACTTTTTGTGGCTAAAGCTGGAGTAATAATGTGTTAACCATTTGATGGAGAAAGTCCAATGTGGAATAAAAATCTGAGTCTTCTCCAGCACAAATAACAGTTTAAAAGGATTATTAATGCATACCACACACATTTTTAACATATGAAGGACACTATTGAAAATACATACTTAGCTAATGTCTATTTCAAGAGTATATTAGTAAAGAATATAAAATACATGATAATCTAATGATTTATTATCAAAAAATACATGTATAGAATAAGAATAAGGTCATGACTCATAATATCATGACAGCTGGGTTCTGGTAAGAAGCAATATAGCTACTCGAATTCTTGGGGAAAAGAGTCACAGAAAGATAATATGGTTCTGGTATCTGATTCTTGTACCTCATAAAGTGCTAGATTAAAGTCTGTAAGAGATTCTTGAATTATTCCCTGAATTGTTACTTTCAACACAATTAAGAAAAGGCCAGAATAGTCAAAGTGGCCAAATGCATCACTCATATACTAAGGTGATTTCAGACGATTCACAGAATCATAGAATCTGAGTTGTAAAAGTCCTTTGATTTTTGTCTCCTTCAACTCCACCATTTTAGAGGCAAACAAACATGTAGAGTGAGGTGAAGTGATTTTTCTGAAACTTATCAATGGAATTCTTAGAACTAGAACTCAGTTCTCTTACCTCCCTTCCCAGTACACTGTTGACTTCTATTATTGTGTGTATAATATTATTTCTTTATCCAAACATACATTATGCAGCAGAATTAGGTGACTTAGCATTTTGTTGGACAATGGAAAAATCCATCTGAGATATAGAACCCATCCCCCAAAGCCCTCAGAGAAGACAAAGCACATATAGAAGGTCAAGATTTAATGGTTGCAAGCCTTCGCGATCTGAGAGCCAGGAAGGCAGGATCCGTAGGGTCTGAACTAGATCCTCTCTGCCATAGTTTTAACCACTTCTCTTGTCCAGTGCCTGTTGCTTTAGAAAGCAGTGTTAAAATTACTGATGATTCAGATCCTAACTTGAGGTTTCTCATTATGATAATGAGACCTTTCACATCCAAGAGCATTAAATCAGAATCCTTCAGCAACATGGATGGACCTACAGATTATTATATTAAGTGAAGTAAGTCAGACAGAGAAAGACAAATATATCACTTACTTTTGGAATCTAAAAAAAAAACACAGATACAAATGATTTACATATAAAATAGAAATAGACTCACAGACATAGCAAACAATCTTATGGTTACCAAAGGGGATAGAGGAATGGGAAGAGATAAATTAGGAGTTTGGGATTAATATGTGTGTGTGTATAGTGTGTGTTTTGGTTGCTGAGTCGTGTCCAACTCTTTGTGACCCCATGGACTGTAGTTCACCAGGCTCCTCTGTCCATGGAATTCTCCAGGCAAGAATACTGGAGTGGGTTGCCATTCCTTCTCCAGGGGACCTTCCTGACCCAGGGATCAAACCCGGGTCTCCCACACTGCAGACAGATTCTTCACCATCTGAGCCACCAGGGAAGCCCAGAATACTGGAGTGGGCAGCCTGTCCCTTCTCCAGGGGATCTTCCTGACCCAGGAATTGAGCAGCAGTCTCTTGCACTGCAGGTAGATTCATTACCAGCTGAACTACCAGGGAAGCCTATATATATATATATATATATATATATATAGGAATCACTTTGCTCTACACTTGAAACTAAAACAATATTTAAATTAACTATACTTCAAAAAGAAAAAAATGAAAACAAATACAAAAAACAGAATCCTTAAGGGCAGGAACCATGTCTTAAACTCATTGTGAATCTGCACTTCCTAATAAAGGACTGGGCACATGAAACATAAAAAGCCTGGATGTTTACCTTAAACTATTCAATGACACTGTTTGGAGTGCTACATATAATAGTATTTTCTTTATATTTCTCCCCCCTCCCCACCCCAATCCACAGCTCTTT